GGTGACACAGTTGAGTTTGACAAGCACTTGACCAAATACGTAGACTTCCTGCGCAAGGTCCGCGTGAACAGGGAGAAATATACGTTGGAGTCACGGGGGCTAGGTCATTTGAACATCGAAGATGTCTTGCGCGAGGCTGATGACGAGCCAACACAGAAGCTGGTGAAGAAAGCGGGCGAGCATCTCTACGGTATTCTGGCCGGGACAGATAACGCGTTACAGATCATCTTTGAGGGAAATCTTGCCAATGACTTCTATCACTGCGACTTTTACTCTCGCCATTACCGCAAAGCTGGCGCATACATGAGTATCCTGGCACACGCAAATCCTCAACTCAGAATTTGCGAGGTTGGTTCGGGAACAGGCAGTGCCACTTCCAAGGTCCTACCGTTCTTGGTCGACACTGAAGGTCTCCAAGGTGACCAGCTTGTGCGTTTTGGTGAGTATGCTTATACCGACGTCTCAGTCGGTTTCTTCGAGAAGGCGCGCGAGAAATTCGACTTTGCCGAAAAGCACATGCGCTTCGCCAAGCTTGACCTGGAGATTGATCCCTCTCTGCAAGGCTTTGAGCTTGGCAGCTACGATGTGATCATGGCTTGCAACGTCATCCACACTACATCGGATCTCATGAAGTGCCTCCGCGATCTCCTTGCACTTTTGCGCCCAGGCGGCAAACTGATCATGATGGAGACTACTGTGGATAACATCCGCGACGGCATCATCTTCGGCTTGCTACCCGGATGGTGGATGCGCGAGGGCCATTGGTGGGAGGGTGAGGATGTTGACGCCGTACCAGGGGAAGATGAGGCGCTGGGACCTATTCTTACTGAAGATGGATGGGACGCTGCGCTGAAGACTGCAGGCTTCTCAGGCGTCGATATGGTATTCAGAGACAACGAGTACAAACCTCGTCACCGTGTCTCAACGCTCGTCACGACAAGACCAGAAGAGGTCAAGGTTGAAGTCGCACGCGAGAGCTGGGTTATCGTCGCAGATCCCACACAGTCTGGATACGCCGATGTGCTGAGATCAAGGCTGGCCGCTGTATCATGGATCGGAGAGACCGAGACATACACACTCGACAACCTTGTTGCTGCTGGGCTGGAGCTGAGCAACACGAATGTCATTAGCTTGCTCGAGCTAGACACTTCCCTCCTGGGCACTATCGCAGGGCGGCAGTTTGAGGCTCTCAAGAAGATTAGCTTGGGTGCTAAGACCGTCCTCTGGGTCACACGCGGTGGCAGCCCCGGTGCCAGTAACCCTGCCGCCGAGATGGCAGTCGGCTTCTCGAGAAGCATCTGCTCAGAGCGAGGTGATCAGGCCTTCGTAATCTTGAGCTTAGAGACGGACGATTCGACTGAGGGGACCAGTCATGTACTCCGTCTCATCGAGCACTTGCACAAGATAGGAGGAGGGAAGAGCGCAGACGCCGAATCCGAGTACGCAGTAAGAAACGGCCTTATACATATTCCGCGTGTCGTCCCACAGAAGAGCGTTAATCACACTCTCGCCGAGCGCGCGAAACTGCCCGACAAACTCGCATTCACGCTCGGACAAGCTGATCTCAAACCGCGCATAAAGTTGACCATCCAGCAGCCTGGTCTCCTCGACACTCTCTACTACACTGAAGTTCCAGCCCCTAGCAACGAGCTGCAATCTGGCGAGATCGAGATTGAAGTAGCGGCCGCCTCCCTCAACTTCCGCGATGTAATGATTTCCTTAGGCCAAGTTCCTGGTGATGGCCTCGGTCTTGAAGGATCTGGTACCGTGAAACGTGTCGGGCCAAACTGTACTTTGCAACCTGGCGACCGCGTCATGTACTTCATCTTCTCGACAGGTGGTTGCTGTGGGACTTATGTCCGCTGCGACGAGTCGTCGACGCGCAAGATCCCCCGCGACGATATTTCATTCTTGGACGCGGCTGCTATCCCTGCTGTATGGGCTACGGTTGTGTATGCATTCGATTACGTAGGCCGGCTGCGCAAGGGCGAGAGCGTCTTGATCCACGCTGGTGCTGGTGCTGTAGGCCAAGCTGCTATCCAGCTCGCGCAACTTCGCGGGGCGAACGTCTTCGTCACGGTAGGAAGCAAATGGAAGCGCGAGCTAGTGAAGGAGCTTTACGGGCTCACTGATGACCACATCTTCCACAGCAGAGAGGCCAGCTTTGTCGATGATGTGTTCCACGCCACTAACAACCGCGGTGTCGATGTCGTCCTCAACTCTCTCGGCGGAGAACTCCTTCAACATTCATGGCGCTGCACTGCGCCCTTTGGCCGCTTCATCGACATCGGCAAAGCCGACATTCTTGCCAATAACACACTTGAGATGGGCCATTTCTTGCGCAACGTCACCTTTGCAGCCGTGGATGTTGCGGGAATGTACGCCGAAAACAAACCATTGATGCAACTCGTGCTCGACGATGTGTTTAGCCTGTTTGCGGCGCATCCCGAGCTTCATAATCCCAAGCCGCTGCATGCATTCGCCCCGAGTAAGATCGAGGAGGCGATGCGCGCATTGCAGAGTGGTAAGATTGCTGGAAAAGCGGTCATCGACTTTGAGACACTTGGTGATGTGGTGGTATATCAACCTGCGCGAACGCCTTCATATGGATTTGAAGCGCAGGCCACTTATGTTATCAGTGGTGGATTGGGCGGACTAGGGCGCGAGATCATGCGCTGGATGGCCTCTCGCGGCGCGCGACATTTCCTGGTCACCTCATCTCGAGGTGTAGTCGGGCGCACCGATGTCATCGCCTTCATCAAAGAAATGGAAGCTCAGGGAGTCGAGATCCACGCTCCGGCATCAGACATCTCCAATCGCGCCGTCCTGCAGGCGATACTAGAGGAGGCTAGCAAGATACTACCCCCGATCAAAGGATGTATTCAGGCAGCCATGGTGTTGTCAGACAACATGCTCTCAAACATGACTGCTGAGCAATTCCACCGTGCCCTGGCGCCCAAGTACCAAGGCTCTTGGAACCTCCACGAGCTCCTGCCAAAAGATATGGACTTTATGGTCTTCCTCTCTTCCATGAGCGGTATTATCGGCAATCCCGCACAAGCCAACTACGCTGCAGGTAACACATTTGAAGACGCGCTTGCACGTCACCGCGCCGCGAGCGGGCTCAAGGGTGTCTCGTTCGATCTCGGCTTGGTTCTGGAGGCTGGGTGGGCGAGCGACAACTTTGAGGACGTGACAAAGAGCTTGCGTGCTGGACTGGGCGGGTTGACGCAGAAGCAGCTGATGGCGATTCTGGACGTCCTGTGCGATCCATCGTACGATTGTGCAGGCGCAGCAGCGCAGGTAGTGAACATCCATGATAAGCCTGCGAAGCTGTATCGTATGTTCCAGGATGGCGTGCTGCACTGGGTAGGCAAGCCGTTGTTCAAGAACCTCCTTCGTCTGGGACAAGTCGCGCTGGTCAACAGCACTGGAGGTGGCAGTGGACGCGATGCGACAGCGATCGACTACCTGGCCCTCATCAGAGCGGCGGCTGATGCTGAAGAGGCTACGCACATTGTTACCATGGCGTTGCTCGGGAAATTGGGCAAGTCGCTGTCGGTACCGGCCGAGAGTCTCGACGTCGGCAAGCCGGCGTACGTGCTTGGTGTTGACTCGCTCATTGCGGTTGAGCTGCGATACTGGTTCCTCAAGCAATTCGGAGTCGAGGTTCCTGTGTTCGTGATATTGAAGAAACAGCCAACCGTCGAGTTGTGCCGGCACGTAGCGGAGCAGGTCGTTGCCGCCACATAAGTATGTTATCATTACCAAGTGGCAGCGTTTCCATGCTCTGCCCCCGAAAATGCGTACATGCAGCCCGGGTCAGATAGAGAGTCTCTCCTGCTGTAGTCTACACGTTTCATTGCCAACACTCCGATCTTGGTACAGGACGACGGTGCACCTAATACTAACACTTCGTTGTCTGAGTACTCAAAGTCCTCTCAGATTACAATGACAAGAAGTCGTTATTCAGCTGCGTGTTGTTCTCCTTGACAGGTGTGGACGTCCCCGAAGCGACTGCCGGATCTCTCTCATATGTAACGAATCATAGCGAAGCATTTTGTGTCACCAGTACATAGTAGCCTAGCGCGATCCCTCATTTTCGGCCCCCAAAGCTGACTCGAGCTCGGACTCCACATAATAATCAGTTTGTATGTAAGATGACGTTACGCTTCTGCCTAGTGTTCACAGGAGATGTCTTCAACATGAGCTTGACTCTGCAAGCAAAGTTCATAATATCATTGCCGCCACTACGTGCCTGAGACTCAGGCAAAATGACCGCCACTCGCGCTATACGTCGTCAGACTGTGCCCGGACAAGAACTGACCACATTACCGTTCGCCTTCCTTTGACATCTCGCTGGCCTTGCTGACACCGGTAGCAAACATAGCGCAACCGCGAGGCTTTTAGACTCTGAGCCCACGGCGATGATACCTCCGTCTGTCTCGACCCGACGCCAAAACTCAAAGTTCCGCGACTTCCTAAGACATGTTCGACTGCTACTCCCGGCGTCTTTCCTTGGCCACACCTTGCCCTGGAAGACAACGGTCGAGCAACGCAAAGTTGCCGTATACCAGAGCCGACGCATGGCAAGCTTGAATAGTCTTCTTCATGTCATTCCACTTGCTGTCGCTGGGACCCTTCTGGGCCTTCACTGGTCGAGATACTGGGTAGGAGTCTCGGACGACGCGCCGTCACTGCAATTCGCAGCCAAAGTCCACGAATTGCTTATGCAAGCATCGCTCGTCGACGTTCTCCTCCATGTCATACGAAGCCAAGCACTCAACGGGTATCTGCCATTAGGTGCACTTGCAGGGGCTGCACAGGCACCCCAACTATCCTATCTCTGGTCGCTGGATTTCTTCTCCGCTCTTGTGGCGCCAAGCAGGGTTTTCAAAGCACGAAACAAATTTGTTTTCATATTATCGACATTTACGCTACTGTTCATGACTGGAGTCGTGGGTCCCTCATCTGCAGTTCTGATGATTTCACGGCCTGGTATGACGCATGTGCAAAGCATCATAATCCGATACCTAGGCATCTCGGAGGCTGATTTGTTTCCTACTCGAATAGATAAAACAAATCAATTGAATTTGTAAGTAAGTAATATTCTGTCCTTGAAGATATAACTAACGGTCATTCCTTACAGTACACTAGACGCCGATTTTTATGATACGACTAGAGTGGATTACAAATCTGACCGTAGTGGTCCAGCACGATCAAAAAACCTCTGGCCAACTGACCTAGGAAGTAATGTCCATAGACTCCTTCTATCAGAATCTCCTTTCTATTACTCAGATTCTGTTGGTGTTCCAGATGGTATCATTGCTGAATTGACCACTGGTAAGGATAGGATCATTGGTGATGAATGGACCATTGGTACACTTCCGACGATGATGAGCGCACTACAGCTATGGCATCACAGCTCGATTGCACAAGTAGAAACTGTTGACGAAAAGATTGATCAGCGCGAGACCTTCCTGGCTACCGGAGCGCAGTGGACACTCCAGACTTCGCAGCCTGTAGTGATGTCCGCCTGTTCTCCTGTTTTCTACAATACTGAAAACATCTCTTACCCTCACGTCGACGGTTCAACAAGCATCCTCCATAATGCAGCTGAACTTTACGATACGATGTTAAAGATGAACGCAAACCGTACATACTTTATGTCGTGGATTCAATTGCCTCAGGATCCTACTTCCTTGCTTGCCTTATTCATGGACATCGACGACCGAATCGGGGTCTATAACGGCAGTGATGGCAGTTATTCGGCACCAATAACTAGTTTTACCATTTGTACAGTATCTTCGTTCTGGTGGGATACATCAACTACTTTGTCTCTTACCAGCACGGATAACTTAATACAAACGGAATGGCCTGGGAGCAGAGAAGACATCGTCCAGGATAAGTCGAGACCGATTATCATCGATCCCGAAGCCATTCCCAAGCTACATATCTCACCTAATCAGTCACATCCAAATCCCTCGCATAATTTGGCAGTAACTATCGTGGCGGGATTCGCGGTTGCGCTGTCTTGGGTTCCTGGCCAGTATATATATTCAGCCAACAGGCGTATTCCTCTAGACACGATTGAGGGACTGGACTTCTCTAGTATAATAGATCCGACGTCCAATACACCATTCCGAATCGTGAAAACAATCACGGGCTACGGCTATGGTAGTACAGATACTTCTACCTTACTTTCGCTAGCAGTCATTATCACTTACTGCTTTATCACGGTCGCATATATCACTTATACCATTGTCACGGGCCACACGTCTGTAGCCTGGAACTCGGCAACTGAGCTGATCCTGCTGGCTCTTCAATCTAAAGAGCCAGACGATCTGGGCCATGTATCTGTTGGTGTCGACTCCACGGAGACGCTTCGCAGGAGCGTGGGAATCAGGGTAAACACTGTGACCATTCCAGACACAGGGGAGCGTATGCAGAAACTGGAATTAGTCTTCGAGCATGATGTCCAAGACAAGGAGAGGATTTTGAAGAAAGTTGAACGGAATCAGGCGTACTAGGGCATTGAGATTGATTCTGAACAAACTGGGTTAACGTAATTCACTAGTGCGTAGCGGCGATTGGAAACAGCGATATACCCTGCTTTCGGCAGAACCAACCTATGACTCCCAAGCTGATAGGCAGCAATGGAAGCGTCTAAGGGTACGAAAATAATCGTGGGGAACAATGCTTTATCGCGTCTCGCTTATTAGGCTGCAGCTTTCATCTACTCAAGTATTGCGCGCTCATCTATACAATGATCTTGCATCATCACTTGCACAACATTCTTACATACAACAACATCCCGTTGTCAATAACCGGAGATGGCTAGCACTTCCCTACCCCACCTTCCAGCCGAGCTGTGGGCCCAAGTCCTCCAAAACGTCGACGATCCATTCACCCTATGGATTACCTGCCGTCAGGTATCGCGTACCTGGAGAACAGAAGGTGAACACGTCTTTCGCACGATCTTCCTTCCAATCCTCCATATTGAGTGGACTAGAGTTGCATTTGGCCGAATAGCACACACTATCATTGCTATTCCAGACGAGCACTCCATCAAATCACAATCAACAACGCTGTCCCTTGTACTTCGATGGGGTGAACCAAGATTCGAGGTCATGGCCCCAATCGACCCGGAGGATTCCACGCGTGACAAATTTAGGAGAGAACTCGCTTGGATCACTAAATATAACGACCATTACTTATGGTTATACAATTCGCCTCTTGAGATGAATGAGCAGGCCATTTGGTTTGACACGGCAGACGGGCGATATGCATTTGTCGGTAGTGCTGAGACCATCGCATTCACTCCTCAGTACCCTGCTCAAGAATAAGATATGAGATACAGGTGCCGAGTCACATGCAACTGGAAAGTTTTGATGGATGCGCTCTTTGCGGAAGAAGTGTTTGTGCGGCGAAGACATCCGGGCCCGTCACTCTATGAGCTTGGAGAGCAAGGCATGCATGACATTGTGGCTGGGGAGTATCACCCAATGCAACCAAGGACAGTCCTTGCTGAGAAGTTCAAGCCGCTGTACGCCGCTGCTTTCCAAGAGAGGTTACGTCGTGCATTCAACAGGGAGGGTGTGGATCTCTACACTCACGACAGCTTTACTAGCGTGTGTAATGCGAATCAGCAACTAGATTACCACATTGAGAAAACTGGATGCGGGTGGATGATGGAATGTAGGTTCGAAAGACTGCAAACTTTCTTGAATAGTCTTCTGAAGCGAGAGAGGAAAAGATGGGACCGGGATATTACAGGACGACAAGCTTACATGAGGCTTGTGTAGGAAAGGCATTTAACCAATTTTCGAAATCAATAAATGCTCCAACATACGTTTGGTGTGGATGGATTTGAATCTCTATTCTATACTCTACGGAACCAGAAAAGGTTCGCTGCAGAGTCAATATAACACAACGCCAATAGCATCGTGAAAGTGCTCAACCTAACTATGCCGTGATTGGGTGGGTTGCAGCTCATGGGAAGAGGACGTCTCAGTCGGAGCACTTGGTTCTGCCTTCTTCCAAACTGACCCACGCATACTTTCTGGTACCGTGATAGCGAAAACGCTGAGGAAGAGCCCAATGCCACTCAATATGACGCAGCTGTAGTACACACTTCTATATCCAATGGTACTAAGCTCACCCTGAGGAAGATTTGCGTCTCCATACGTCTTCTCGATACCCTCTGCAACTGCAGTAAGCACAGCCAAACCAAGCACGCTACCGCCGACCTGCAGTGCGACGTTGAAGACGCCGGCGGCAGCACCCTGATCCGATCTGGAAGCGGAAGAGACGACGACGAAGTTGGCAGTGATGTAGACAGCACCAATACCAGCGATGTACAAGATCATCCCTGGGAAGGTGTAGCGCCAGTACGAGGTATCTTCGGCGATGAAGCTGAAGAGGAGCACGCCGGGGATAGAAAGAGCCCAGCCGATGATAAACTGCTCATACAGTTAGTACATTCACTTCAAATTAGGGGGTAATACCATACCATAGTCCTTGCGCCGAGGATGGGGACGAGACGACCCGAAAGAGTGTTGAAGATGAGAGCGCTCACGCCGAGTGGGATGAAGAGCACTGAGGTGTGAATGGCACTCGCGCCGTAGGACTGGAGCTGGACAGTAAGGAAGTATGTGCATGCTTGTCGCACGGCATATGTGTTGACAGCAAGAACCAGTGTGAGGTTGAAGGACAGGTTGCGGAAGAGATGGGGAGCCAGGATTGCCTGGGAAGCTGAACGTTCGTGCAGAACGAAGACAACGAGCAATACAACCGACACCGCCAGCGTGGCGATGATCTTAGCGTCATCCCAACCTTCTGTGTTGGCGGAAGTAAGCGCGTATGTGAGGAGGAGGATACCGGGAATGCCAAGAGTGATACCAAAAGCGTCAAATCGGATCAGGCGCTCCTTGACCGATTGGAAAAGCTTCTTTTTTGGCACCTGAGCGCTCTCATCGACACCTGCTCCATCTGCAGGAGGTGGAGTGATAGTACGAGGACAGGGGACGCGTGGAAGAACAGCATATGCCGCTGGAATGACGATTCCTGAGATGATCAAAGAGATCCAGAAAATCCAACGCCATCCCAAGAACGCTGTGAGGACACCACCAAGGATGAGTCCAATGATGAAGCCCAAAGAACCTGCGGCGCCCCAGATCCCAAGCGCTTTCGCCTTCTGCGTTGGATCGGTGAAGTGCAGAGCAATGTGCGCCTGCGCTGGAGGGATGGTGAAAGCAGCGCCTATACCCTGGAATGCTCTAGCAACCACCAGTCCTATGAAGGTAGGAGAAAGGGCGCAGACCAGACTGAATAAAGCGAAGAAGATCATGCCAAAGAGCAGAACACGGCGATGACTAGACTGACGTTAGTCATGCCGACGACGTAGGATCATGGAAACCAACCCAAAGATGTCTCCTCCGCGACCACCTAGCAGTAGGAAGCCACCAAACGTGAGAGCATAGGCAGATATGATCCATTGGAGGTCTCCAACATTTATTCCAAAGTCTGTTTGTATGGTAGGAAGCGCAATCGTGATAGCACTCAAGTTTGCCAGATCGAGAAACATCGCAGAGCAGCTGGAACTTTGTGTTAGTCAGGTTCAAAGCGAATGCGATCGTTACTAACACAACAGCCAGGATGAGGTAGGGACTGCTCCCTGCCATGCGATCAGGGAGAGCCTGAACTTGTCGGAAAGCCATCATGTGTGGTCTTGAGCTGCAGACTATGGCAAAGGGTGGAAGACAGACAGCTCAAGAATACCAGAAGATATTTACGATATCGTTAGATGGATCGAGCGAAGCGGCGACGGTTTATCCCAGGGTGGTAACGTCGACTCATCCGGGCTAGCCCTGATATGGCATAGCGCAGGGAGTCAAAAACACAGGGCTAAACGAAGGCAGCTTGCCACGGGCCGTTCGCCTCGATCCCCATGCCTGGCTATGCACCGAAACGCCATGGCCCAGACGGGAGCGCCCTCGTACCGCCTCTGCTCCCCAACGAACACCGCGTTCTAAATGAATGTTGATTGAAAGCGGGACTGCCAACTTGTGCGGCCGGCGCCACTTCCGGTTGGCTCATGCAGGCTTCCACCACATAGGACAAGCTCGTCCATGCTTCAAGTGAGGTATTTCCCGAGCGCACAAACGGCCCATTATTACGTACATCTATACCCATGAGGCTAGGAACCCGCTGAACGAAGTTAAGCTGCGGGAATAAAGCTTAAGTGGTTCAAGAGCTTGGACGGCACGCCTGATTGTCGAAACGCCGTAAGGGCGTAAATGATGTTCAGAAAGCGCCCTTTTCTACATACAGCCTTTCTACCGGAGGCGAGAACATGAGGTCTATTAGAGGCTGCGAGAATTCTCATCTTAAAAACCAATCTACAACTCGTGCGCTGCAGGACAACAGGCTGTTCTGTACATACGTATGGTGAGAATTCCTGCTAGCAAAAGCTTGATTCTGCCAAGGTATGGGACGGCCCGTCTGATGGACCGGGACACAGGGGTGACAACCGACTTGCTTGGCAGCCCTTTGTCCTGTTCTTGATTTTGTCCATGAAAGACGATCGCTGATGCCTGAAATGCTTCAAGAGCGAAATCACCACGAAAGACACGGCACAGGCCAAGCTAGAAGGAGGTAATATAAGCTCGCATTGCTTTCTTCGTCCTTTCACGTAGGTGCTCTGCTGACGGAAGCGTGTAGCAGATTTGAGGATCCGCACTGGAATGACCCATCGAGGCAAAACGGGTGCTTAGCTCGGCGGTGACGATCACCAGCGTCTCAACATGTGCCAAACCGCCGAGCTTGCTGTACGAACCCTGGCGGCAACTGCATGACATTGTAGCTCACGCTGCTGACGGGCCGAAATGTATAGCAGCTGCAAGTAAGACTCGCAGATTGCAGCATGGGGAGCCATATTTGCTGCGCGCGCCACTGTTCCCTACTCTAATAGATACCTTCAAGTTTTCATGTTCTATTCTGAGAAAGGAAAGCTGCAACATCGTCCTGACGTGCTTCATCTCAAGACAGGTAAGCAATTCTGTGCGGAGAATACTGCGAGTCACCGTATCTGTCAGAGCCCAATTGCTCTCGCGAGCTCAAGAGACAGGGTACTTGCTTTCGTATGGTGCAATGTACAGCTTGCAAGGCGGCTGCCATCTCCGACACCATCGTGGCGCTACAGCTCAGGCCTCCGGCCCACTAAGTCTCCAAATCCGCCGGCCGCTTGCCTCAAGTCTTGTGTCCTGTCGGCAAAATTTCAAGCGTGTTGGCAGAGCTCAACAAACCGTCACAAAACCTGGTCAGGTGGGTTTTATTGTGCGTTGAATCAGTCAAAATCAAGAGGACTTTCAAGACGACATGAGGAGCTGACACGCCAACTCAAGCTACTCAACGGCGTTCATTGGACATAGAGAGTCGCATCACGCTTACCCTCGGTAGGCTTTCTGGTGATCAAAAATCGAACTGTACCCGATCAGCGACATCTTGACCCAGTAAGGATAGAATCCAGCACTATTACGAGTCGTGAAACCCAAACCTCGGTCCATCGTTATTGCATTCCAGTGGAGTAGCGTTCCCATCCGAATCAATAATCCGCCGCAAATACGAGACACCTCTAAGGCCACCAAGCACTCGCTAAACCCTTGATACAGGATTTTCTCCCATGCGAGGTTTTCCTGCACGTAAGCTACTTTCCGCCCACGCTTAGTGAGCGCCACAAGAGTAAGGGTTGCATACAGCCATGAAGAAACCGAGAATTTTCCACCATGGATCATGCAAAGGGGGTAGGCGAAGGAATATCCGACATACCGGTGATGCATCCGGAAAGGCAAGCTGAAAGGGCGTATATAAATGGTATGTCGCCAGCTTAAATATCCATCAAGCAATTCTTTTGCAAGAACATCTCCGCCATGTCTCTCGAACCCATGCCCTTTTTGAGCGGCCCCGTTGCGAGCAACGCAGGGCCTCATGAGCATCGTGATCCACCCAGCGATATTGTCTCTGTGATACCGTTGTCGAAAGTGCAACAGGCACTTTGGCTAGATTACCTGGTCAGACCTCATGTGTCTCATTACCATCTGAGGCTTGAAATTGACGTATCTTACCTGAACCCGAGCCTGGAGAAAATCCTTCAGGGTGAGTATGTCTATGTTTGAACAGTGTGCCTTGCTGACAACAGAGTTGTAGTCATCCAGACATTAGGAAACAGCCATCAAATGTTAAGAACAACATTCCATCTTGATGGCGATAACCAGGTAAACAGGCCATTCATGGCTGTTCACTCACAGGATACATCAGTCCAGCGGTTCGAGATCATCAACGACGA